CAAAGCTAGTTCCCCCTGTCAGGATCCACACCGTACAGCACGAGTGTTGCAATGATAAAGGGCCCGCCTATGAGTTTGGGATAGCAGCGGAGGTCACCGACCTGCTTAGAGCTAAGATAGATTCTTTTGTGGCTGAACCCACCGCATTCCCCTACGCGAACAAGTGGTTCGTGTTCAGGAAGCCCAATAAGACGCTCAGGTGGATCCAGAACCTGCAGAAGCTCAATGCAGTAACAATCAGGGACGCAGACTCGCTTCCACAGGCCGACTTGTTGGCAGAATCTCATGCGGGGCGGAGTATTTACTCCTTGGTAGACTTGTACTCAGGATATGATCAGTTGCTGCTCGGTGCGAGGGATAGACCGTACACCGCAATTCACACCCCCGTAGGGCACCTGCAGATGCAAGTGACCCCTATGGGCTTTACAAATGCGGTAGCAGAGGCGCAGAGAAGGATGTTCGTCGTCGCAGGGGATATGTTTCCGGAAAAGTGTGAACCGTATATAAATGATAATCCCGTAAAAGGCGCAAGGTACAAGGACGAGACGGAGGTTGAGCCGGGCGTACGAAAGTTTGTTTGGGACCACCTGCAGGATATTAAGGACCTACTCCAGCGCTTCCTGGTTTACAATATTACTGCAAGCGGTCCCAAGAGCATCCTGGCAGTCCCGGAAGTAACCATATTGGGATTTCGTTGCGGAGCTTATGGGAGGAGACCCGACCCAGCAAAGACGGATAAGATCTCCCAGTGACCAACACCCCTGCGTACCACGACGGAAGTACGGGCCTTCCTAGGGGTGGTTGGGTTCTAGAGGATCTTCATCAAAGGATTCGCAAAGATAGCAGAGCCTATCCGCGCAATGATTAGGGAAGGCGACACTATGGATTGGACCGAGGATAGGGAAGCGGCAGCCCAGACCCTGAAAGACATCCTGTCATCCGATCAGGTCACTCTAGCAGCACCCTGTTTCAATGACGAGGTAGGACGGCCTTTCATCTTAGAAACAGATGGGGGACCGCTGGCAGTTGGAGGAGTGTTGATACAGAGAAGCGAGGAGGGCAAAGAAAGACCAATCAGATTTGAAAGTAGGACCCTTGAATTCAGCAGAACGGCGGTATTCGCAGTTTAAGAAGGTCTTAGCAATCTTACATTGTCTTAAGACCTTTCAGGCATACCTGTTCGGAAGGCGATTTATCCTAAGGATCGATCCCACCAACGTGGCCGGAGCCCTAAAAAACTACAAGCCTATAGATCCGACCGTTGGCAGATGGATAGGCTTCATATGGCAATTCGACTATAAGGTCGAGCGAATTGCAGGGCTTCGAAATAGGGCAGATGGGTTGACCAAGGTATGCATCACGCCAAAACGAGTAGAGGACGCGGAACCAATTGACGCCTTCCTGGAGTACGAAGGAGGGACCCTTGTTGTGGATAATGAGATGGCAGATCAAGTAATCACAACAGGTCAGTTGCTGATTCAAACCTTGGAAAAGGGCGCACCTGCAATGGTTGCAGAACTCAGGGAAGGACCAATCACCACGGTCAGGCGCAAAGAGGAAAAGGACTCATGGGGAGCAGAAGTAGGGGCCAGAGAGGAACTGATGGCAATGACCGTGGAGGGGGGACAGGACGCTGTGATGACGTTGGCCGAAGCCTGGGCGCAGAAGGAGTGTAAGTATCTAGTCAACCTCACTCGGGAGGAGCAGGGTACGATCAGAAGGAACAGGAGTTCTTCCTCATACAGATGTACGAGGGCGTCTTCAAAGAAATCGGTCTGCTACTTGTAGGGAACAAACAACCCACGGAAGTCAGTCCCAAGGCAAGGGAGGAAGTCGAAAAGTATGTCCTAAGAAATGGCCACCTGTTCAAGAAAGAGGAAGGGATGATGCCTAGGCGTGTCGTTTGTGGGAGGTCTAGGCAGCTGGACGTAATCCAGGGAATGCATGACGGGCTAGCTGAAGGTCACCTGTCGTCCAAGGGGACACTTGCAAAGATCGTGCCCCTGTACTTTTGGCCAGGGATGGCAGGCATGGTCGCAACGTATTGTCAAACGTGTCTGATATGTCAAGAAAGGAGCGCCGTATGAGTTTACGAGCCCCTTAGACCCACCCGGGTACTAGGACCCGGACACCTTGTTCACCTCGACCTTGCCGTTATGCCCGTATCAACGGATGGGTTTAGATACATCTTGGATGCAAGGGATAATCTCAGTGGCTATGTAGAAGC